CCAAACAATCCTATCTAATTTTTCTGATGCTCTCTAAGGGATTGGGCCCGAGACAAAGTCACACAGGAATGTCCTTTTTCTATTATAATACCTCCAAAGAAATTTAAGAATAACCTCATGATCTAATCAGGAATTTAAGGTTGCATGAAGAAACAAAGTAGAAGAAATCATTCGTAAAATAATTATGCTACATTTATTTGAAAAGAGGCTTTGTTGTTGTTTTGATGATTGTCAGTCTTCTGCTAAGCAAACATTTCATAGGAAGAAAAATAAATAAGACAGGGTTCCATTTAACTCTATTTGTTTGTCTCCTAGACCAGGGCTCTTAAAGCTAGGGCCTGTAGCACAGTCACCCAGAGGGTCCGCCTCCAGGGTCTCTGTCAGCAGGTCTGGTTGTCGCCTAGGAAGTTTCCAGAGGATGCAGCAGCTTCCATTGCTGAATTCATACTTAGGGAACGTCTGCCCCAGCTAGGCATCAAGGGATATTCTTAAGTGCTGAACCCAATGAAATCATTTGGATCATAGGGGTGGTAGGATAAAATCTTGATGTGTTCAAACTCTCAGGCAGGGCTGCACCAAATCCAAGATTTGGAAGTTTTCTTTTTTTTTAAAGACTTTTCTGTATAGTACAGTCAGTCTGCAACACTGAGGACACACGCCGCGTTGCACCATCCTCATATAAGAAACAGCTCCTCGGATTTAAAACCTGCTCCGACTCACACTCACGGATTGCCAAGATCACGTCATTTGTTAGCCAGATTAACTGCCCTGCTCCTGGATCCGTCCTAGCCTCCACCTTTTGACCCCCCGTGGTCCAAATCAAGGCTACTTATGCAGTCGAACAGAAGGTCCTGCAGACCTGGGGTGGGGTGGGGTGATATATGCCCCAAACTAGAAGGCTCCCTACCACCTTATTCCTAACTCCTTTGTATCGAAAAGGAATTATTCCCAGCATCCATAAACTGGATCGATCCTATTACTGTCCCTAGTCATGAAACCAGCCCCGGGCCGATGGGACAGGAGTTTTGCTCATACGGGCCACTTAGGACACACCCTTCAAAGGTTGACCCATCCCGCTTTTCATCAGGGCCCTGCTTCAGATCATTGTTCTTTCTGCGAGCATCACGGGGACTTCTCCAGCAGCTTTTGTGATGAAACGTGATCGGGCCAAGCTGCGCCTCCATGACCTACCACTCTTCTCTTCTCCTCTCTTTCCTCAGGTTGTGATGAATAACTTAAGCCCAGCCTGGAAATCCTTCAAAGTGTCGGTCAATTCGCTGTGCAGTGGAGACCCAGACCGCCGGCTGAAGGTCAGAAATCTACCCGTGTCTCACATACGCACTTCTTTCCGTACTTAATCCTCCCTCCTCTGGTTCCCCAAGTGAGCATGGGCAACCCCCCAAAGCTTTTCTTTTAGCCAGAGCCATTGAAGCTCGGGAAAGAGCCCACAATAAATTTCTGAGGCAAAATGCATGGTTGTTTCAGAGACAAAGTTGTGGGGAATAAGATCAAGACATACTTAGCTGTCATTAAAAGCATCCTCATTGCTGTACAGATTAGGCTGCGAGACATAGTCACTTAAGACAATAAACATCTGTTTAGTCCGTGAGGCTGGACTTTGCAAAGTGTGGCTGGCTGCCTCTGGGTGGTTCTTCTGTTTGTCTCCCTTGGCCTTCTCAGGAGTGTGGGGCCAGCTGCGCTGGAGCAGAGCAGCTGTGATGCTGGGATTCGGCTGTCTTGTGGAATGAGTGGTGTGGGTAGAGCCTAAGCCTGTCATCCTGCAGCAGGCTAGCTGGGACATACCCACCGAGTGACCTCAGCAAAGGCAGGAGCGGCAAGGGCTCTGGAGGCCCAGGCTCAAAACTTACCTCTGCCCCCTTCCTCCAGATTCTGTTGGTCCAAACAGGTCACATGGCCAGTCTAGATTCAAGGAAGGAGGAACTAGAGGCCATCTCTCCACCTAACCAGGGTGTGTTCTCCTGGGGCAACACCCAAAGGAGCCCATTGTTCGAACATGGTGGTCCGTGGTGAAAGCTGGGTCAGGATGCCAAATAACGGAGTTAGTTCATGGATGCAGACTCCCCCGAAAGCCGGGGCATCCGCCTCCCTCCGCTGTGGGAGTTTAGATCCATCAGGAAGACTTTTGTTTTCATGCTGACCTTTCAGGGTACCTGATCCTTAGGAAGAATCAAGTGGGCATTGCCAATGTTTCTCTTTATGACTACATGTTGCTTTTACCCCACAATCCCTCTCCTGAGGACTGCAGTATTTTTGATCTATGGATGCCATCTCTCCAGTTAGTGTTCCAAGTGGCAGGGTTAGGATCCCCTTTAAGGCCACGTTGTATATCTCCACTTAACCCCATTGACATGGGCTCTGTGGCATGAATTCTCAGAGCAACTCAGAGCTGTCCCCAGATATTTCCTGTAAGAGCCAAGTTATTCCAAGTTTCCATCGCCAACAGAAACCATCAGTGAGACCAAAATCGGGATTTCTGGCAGTTTGGGTCATTCGGTGGCAGCTGCTGCGCACTGTTGCCTACCTGGCGGGGTTGGGGGAGGGACGGAGCTACAACACCAGGCCTGCCTGCCCTTGGAGTAGCACCTTCCTGCTTCTAGGGACATAAGTGGCTCCCTTGGTCCAGAAATCCTTTTAATACCTCCTTGAGTCACGTGTTAGCTTTCTCATGGGGAATACCTAAAGAGAGCAAAGAAAAGGTCTGTAGTTAAATAAAAATGTAGCAAAGGAGCGCCTGGTAATCTTTGAGGGCTGTCTGTAGAGGGACACGTGGTACCAAAGAAAGATGAAAGAGAGAGAAGGAGGGAAGGATGGAGGGAGGGAGGACCGGAATTCCCCCAAAACTGCACTACTGACAATGGGATTCTGTTGTGGGATATTTAGCATGATTGGACACTGTATCAGGAGAGACCAGTCCCTGGAGAGGGGCATCATGCTAGGAAAAGTAGTGGGTCTAGGAGAGGAAGGCACTTAGCGAGATGGCTTGATGCAGGGACTGCACCAGTGGGTTCAAAGATAACAATTAGGAGGAGGCTGAAAGATAGGACAGTGTTTCCTGCTGTTGTCACTGTGAATGGGCACCGACTCAGCGGCATTTTACAACAGCCTCAACAAGACCTCCATCCACTAGATTTCTCTAGCACTCCCCCACCCCAGTGATGCAGGTAGCTGTCTAACCCCCAAACCAAACCTACTGCCATCAGGTCAGTTCCGGTTCACAGTGACGCTCTATCGGGTTTCCAAGACTGTAAATCTTTATGGAAACAGATCGCCTTCACTTTATCCCAGAGTGGCTGGTGAGTTTGAACTTCCAGCCTGGTCGTTAGCAATCCAACACTTACTGCACAGTGCCAACCAGCTAGACACTGCCCAATGCTCCGTGGAAGTTGGAGAAGCCCATAGTCTTCAAACAGCATGCATCAGTAGCAACTAGAAGGGTTGTTAAAACACATATTTAACTCTAGGCCCCAGCACTCCTGACAGAGAAGCTCTGGCATATGGCAGAGAACTTGTACTTCTGACAGGCTTCCTGGTGAGACAATTGTGACGTGCTGGATAGCTCCAACCCACACAGAGGCCCCTCTGAAGGAAAGCCTGGTGAACTGTTTCCAAAACAATCACAGCCTTGAAAACTACGGAGTGCAGTTCACTGCGAGTGGAAATCAGTCCAAGGGCAACCAATAACAACACGTTCCCAAGTGCTGCTGCTGCTGCGAACCCAGGGTCAGGCATGTGCTCCCCACACCATCTCCACCACCCAATCTCCCCACCTGCACCTTGGCTCAGGCCAGCACTCACTCGCGGCATGCACTGCACTGCCCTTGGCCACTGGGGCTTTGCACTTGCAGACCTCTCTTCCTCGTTTCTCTGCTTTTTCCAGAACACACTACTTTCCTTTGGGTCTTCTAAATCTCACTGTATTTTATCAAACCTTCCCTGACCTCTTCGTGCCTCGCTACATTGCTTCATCATCACCTAAATCTCCCAGGGGGAATGCTTCTTAACCTGCTTAGAAATGGCCTATATATCCCTGATTCCTCAATGGGTGATTTGCTTTTTTCAGTTTGCCTCTTCAGGGTGGGAACTGTGTTTGGCTCACTGTGTACCCAGCTATCTGTGCACCCTGGTGGCACCGAGGGTTAGGCATTGGGCTGCTCATAATATCACCAGCTGCTCTGTGAGAGAAAGAGGTGGCTTTTTATACCTATCAAGAACTACAGCCTCAAAACCCCACAGGGGCAGTGCCACCCTGTCCTGTAGGAGCACAGTGAGTCAGAATCCACTCAATGGCAGTGAGTATTTTTGACTTTGAGCACAGTTCTTGGTACAGTGCCTATTCCTAGGGATTGCGTCCAGGATTAATGA